CAGGGCCACAGACCGAGAATTTGCAATTTGGCAGGTGGCCTTCGTGGCCAAGCGAGGCTGGAATTCTTGGAGTCGGCTTTCGGTAAGAAATTCCCATCGTCAAGGGGTTAAAAACACTGGCATACTTATAAACATGGAACCGTCAGCTGAGAAAAATACGTACATACAATATGTGGACAAATATTTCATGCTGCTGTGCAGCATTTGAATGTGTCTTGGTATCAATAAAAATACATCAGTGACTACGACTGTTCACAGAAGACAAATAAAACAAAGTTAAACCAGGCTTGATTTACATGTACAAGATTGTTCCAAGTCTGCATTGGATCCCAGATCTCAAAGTCCACATATACAGGTATAGGTATATGCTCCGGAAACGGGCGTTCCCAATCTAAATGACTCTACCATAGCAGAACTTGTCTTGTTAGGCAGTTGAAGCCTGGACGCGTTCGGAGCAGAGTAGCGAAGATTGAGTACTTTTCCGTGCTCGAGTACTGTGCAACCGGTACTCTCATTTTACCGAGGTGTATATTGATGATTATGAGAGAAGGAAACCGGCTTTTACCAGCTCCAGATGTTTGTCTGGTAGGAAGTGTACCTGCCACATCTATCTAAATCCTTCTTTCTTGATCCACAAATCAGGTCGAGAGGCAGTCAGTAAAAAGCAAGTCCGCAAAGCTGCCAGTTTAACTGGAAATCCTTGAAGATCTGTCGACTTTAGGATGTTTTGAAGGGAGATCCCAACAGGATATAATTAAGGGGATTAAATTCAGCTTCATGGTCGGATATGATGTCAAATTCACACAGGAAGTAGCTGAAAGCAATTGACCTTTAGACATTTTGGGCTGATTATCTCATGTTGCTGATGAGCTCAACTTTTCTGTGCTTTAAGAGGCTCCAGGATACTGGGCCATTTTCCCAAATCTCTGCTTCATCTCCGTTTCATCTTCATCTCGAGCTCTTACATGTGCATGTAAAATCACTTTAAAATGCTTGCCTATGAACCAAAGCAAAACTTGGTATCCATCCAACAAATTGAAAGTTTCCGTTTCAGAAAACATTGAGCTGGCCTGAGTTTTCGAGGCTCTCTATTCGGGGGATGGAATTTATAAAGCTAAAACCTGAATGCAACGTCAGAGACAAAGCCATGATTTAGGAAATACCCTGTGATTCCTGCAAAATGTGGTCATACAAAATGATGATTTCGTTCAGCCATCAGCAACTTTTGATTAGACAATGCTGCTCCAGAACACTCTCACCACTACTCACAGTTCAAACATCCTCAGCACAAAACCCTGAGTCAAAGCATCAAAAGATTTTGTCTTTTGGCCTTTTTACTTTTATTTTAACATTTCCTTGAGACATTTTGTCAGACCAAATCTACATGTACCATTACATTACATTTGATCAGACAAACACAGCATGTGGTTGGAAAATGTCTAACGTCCATTCCAGCTGTAACTTTGCACTCGGCCACAAAACTGTATTTGTGAACACTGTGGAAATACATGTACATGCAAATGGGCCGTGCAAAACTTGTTTCTGACGGATGACCTCAGGAACAGTTCCAAATTCTGGAATTGGGTAAGTTGAACCATTTAGAACTCACATACGAAAAACAAAGAACAAGGAGGTTTTTTAAAGGTTATTGAGAAATAAAAAAAAAAAAACACAGTTGGGGTTTATTGGATTCTCAGCCTGCAGCTCACAGACTAGTCTCTCACCTCAAAATATTCCTGGCCTGGCTGCATGCTGGGTTCCAGGATGCAGACACCTTGCTTTCCCGTCCGGTCTGGCACATAGAACAGCGTGTCGTCCCGCCAGCTGACGGCCATGCGCTTGGATTTGATTTCCACGTTCTGGGGGCTGGGCGAGTCCAGGCCGTTGATCTGGGGCCCGTTGATCATGTTGACAGGCGGGCCCTTGACAAAGCGGGCGTGGTGCATGCGGGGCAGGCCGGGGAACGGCACGATGGGTCGTCGGGCATCCATTGCCCTGCAGACAGGACAGAAGAGCACTTGATGAGATGCAGGTGTTCAGCCTTGTATATTTTTTACATAACGGTACATGCACGTGTACAAAGAGCCAGCCTGATGCTCACCAATTTACCTGTACATGTACATTTGTGGACATTTCTACACAATCTTATGCACTTGTGCAGGTACATGAAAAGAACTCTTCATGCATAAAATGCCGGTGCAATCCGTACATGTACACATGTACAACTCTACATGTGGTGTATCTGAATACATACATGAAACAATCATTTGGCGAAATGGAATGTGTACATGTACAGACGATGGACATGTACAATGTCCATATTGCAACATGTACCAGTCCATCTTGCAGATGTTCAGTACATGTGGCGTAGTTTCAAGTTCAGCTGCTGATGCATCCCACTGCGCAATGGTACATGTACATATGCTGATCTTTGCATTTGCTAGGAACCTGTCTGTTTAGCAAAGATCTACTGGTAGGGCCAATTTCATAGAGCTGCTTAAGCACAAGCACGAAAAACCTTGCTTAATAAACAAAGGTTACCAGGCTCAAACTCTGTGTGATTGCTTACCAAAAGACAGGTACCCGGTACATGTACATGCCGTTCCCAAACAATGTATGTCACAAGAAGTTTTGGCTGGTAACCCGATTTGTCAAGCAAGGTTTTTTCACGCTTAAACAAATTTTTTGCTCAAGCAGCACTATGAAATTGGCTCCAGGATCTTAATCTGCTCTGCAGATGGCAATGCATAACATTCACTGTAAGTGTACATACAGTACATGTACATGTGCATGTACAATGTACAGTACATGTGCTCTTTTAAAGATGTATGCAGTATAGTACATGTACATGTACCATACAAGTTCCTGCATGGTTTTTTAACGACTTTTGCGAGAAGTATAGAACCATATACATGTAGCTCCACCGTTGAACATAGCACTGTACAGCACTGATGTACCCTATTCCTGATGTGGGTTTTCCCCGAATGTTGACACCAAGATGGGTGGGTGGGGGTTTGCTCGGGTTCATTGCTAAGGTTCTCAGCACCATAATCAATGTGATTTTTCATCCAAATTCATTTTTGGTTGGGATTTTTATGAGTATGTACATGTGCTGCACAGACTTCTATCACGGCATAATTTCTGATCTACATGTATTTATTTTTAAGTCACGTTTTTGATGCGTACTATTATCATTTTTCTAATTGTTACCGGGGTATCTTTAAGTCCTTGTGTATCATTTAAATTGTGTATTTTTAAGCTTGTAAGCTTAATGTTGATAGATAGCCAATTGAAAATTATCTCTCTTTATAGATGATATGGCTACATACAGTATGTACCATCTGAAAATAAGGCTTCCATTATTAGTAGTAATCGTATACAATGTCACACCTGCACAGGACACCTGTACTAGCTTGTTCCTACCCTGTGGCGAATACATGAACCCTCTACGTGTAGATGTGACCGGCTCCACAAAAATGATCATTATGGGACATTTTTTTTAAACGAGTTAACGATAGATACACATTTGAATTGGTTACATGTACATTATAAGCTTTAATTTATCGTAGATTTGAACCCTGTGGCACTTTGCAGTTTGGGGATACATTGGTTTTTGCATAATCCTATCATACACATTAACAGAATTGCTCTCAGAGATAAAGCACTTTAAACTCAGGAAGTGCAAAAAGAAATCAGCCAAGACGAAAGTCTCTTGATACCCATAGCAACAGTTAAGGTTTCTTGTATGAATTGTGAAAGTACATTGTACATGTACTGATGTCATACCTGTAGAAGCCAATAAACCACGAAGTAAAAATTCACCCTGTCCACATTGTACAAAAGCCCTCAGTGTGAAATGGCACAGTATTCCTTGATACGTTGTACCTTTTTTGCCGAGCGGGTCACAAATAGAGTTTGCACAGTCGGGGGTGTGAGTGGCCACATACAAAAAAAGCTGAAACTACATACGTGTAATGTGGGTCATTCCATGAAGCTGGGGCACAAATTTGTGACGGTGTCCATTGTTACATGGATTCTGTAAAAATGAACAGCTATTTCCCTGCATGTGGATTCCCTATTGACATTGTTGTACATCTTGCAAGGCTGAATAGAGAGGTGTGTGTTATTTTTAAAGAGTAAATGACCCAATCTACTGGTCATGACAGGGGATAAAAGTGTTAACAAAGACACCGGCACAAATTGTGCCCCAACCTCTTGAAATGACCCACGTACATGTATACATACATGTAGCTAGAGTAGCAAAGGGCTGAATTTCAAAAAGTTCCTATACTTTTGTACACAGCAGGTGTACAAAAATGCTGAAATTAAGAGGAAAAATCTGGACGACAAAAGCTGAAATCATGCAGCCAAATATTCGTACAAAATGTAAATTCTCATACCCCAGCACAATAGCCAAGTTGAGCAAGGGTACAGATCTACCTGTAGATACATGCACGTACACATGAAGTCAAAAAATTACAATTTGATTTCACCAAAAAGATGCTGTGGGCTTAAAAACACAATGACTGTGGGGTGTTACTTCCTAGCTTGTCTAATAAGGCTCACATACATGTACATGTACCGGTACATGCATAATGGACGGCCTTCAGCTCTGGCCAAGACATTCCCAACTCCCGGATAATTTTTGATTCGGGAAGCTGATTGGATTTCTCACTGCATCGAAAAGCGGCGGCATCTGAGACGGCTTCACTCGCTTGAATTATGCTCACAGGAAGTACCGGCACCGTTGTAAATGCAGGGACGCACCAGTGCTACAGGAATATGTACATTTGAGCACAGTCAAGTGCATCGCTGACCAACTCTTACCATTATCAAACGTGCACACGGGAGTAATTCCTTCTGAATAATGCACTGCTCAGTGTGTGTTGTCAAGTACTCTACCGGCACCTGTAGCATGTTTTCAATCAAACTGCACACAATACACCGTGTATACATGTGTGTACATGTGTACGGTTTTGTACAGGCAGTGGAATAGTGATACTGTGGCTGTCATTTGTACATGTACATGTACATGTGCATCATGTGCAGTAACATGCACCATTGTGATTAGTAAATGCGTGCATGTACATACATGCACATGTACATGTGCATTATGCCCAGTAACATGTACCATTGTGACTTACAAGTACATGTACCTGTGTACGCACATGTGTACATTACAATTGAATGCATAGAAATTTTTTTTGATCATCCCATCTAGTAACATTCGGGCTAAAATTATTTCAGAGCTTCTAAAACTGTAGATATTTTTTTTTTAAAGAGCATTATAAATTTAAAAAAAAAATTCCAGGTTCCAATGTACGTGTACACTTTTAATAGGAAACACAACTACATAAATGTAGGTACATGTTTTCTTTGAGCTCAAAAATGGATGGACAGTGCAGTGCTCATTTCAAATCCAAGTACATGTACACATACCAGTACTTGTACTGCAATATTGCTGGTATTTGTACTGCAATATTGCTGACCAGTATCTTGATAGAAATGATGTTACTGGTAGATGCATGTTGTAGTTTCTGAAAGAGGAATAAATTTATCCCCCTCCTGAAAAATCTGACAGACACAATTTTCCAAAGAATGTTAAAGGTACAGTCCATCATTACCACAGCACATATCCCAAAATTGTTGAAGTGCTTGCTCGAAGACAGTTACACCTGTAGGACTAAACCCCCCCGTGAAATAGTTTTTCTCGCAAGCTTTCATTTGGAAAAAGATGCATTTGTGGAAATTGTAGCTAGTATTTTTCATTTGTAATTCACCAGAGCGCTGGCGAGCATCGACTTGTCACACATAAAAGGGGCGGCTCCAGAAATTCAATCGGGGGGAGGGGGGACCAGCCAGAGATGTTTTTTTAGTCTCATTTTTGCACGCTACAGTCTCTTATTTGAAGCACTCACTTTGCACACAGAAGAAGAACCTGGGCGATGCTTTCTTGTTTTTTTAATTCACTCACGTTATTTTTTTTTACTAATTTCCCCATTTAAAAAAAAAACTTTTTTGGTACAAACCAGGGGGAGGGGAGAGAGGGGGTAAGGGGTTGACCTCCAAACCCCTGCCTCCCCCTGGATCCGCACCAGCACACCCGTGTTCTGGAGGCACGGTTATTACTTTGTGAGTTCAGTTCGCATCTTGGGTGCCAAATTTGGGCCAATTCAAAACACGACTCTGCAACTTTGGATTTGAAATCAAAATGCTTGAAAGTTTTTCTCTCAGAATATTCAGCATTTACCGAACTTAAATGTCATCGGGTCGTTACAGTATTTGGCACACTTCTTTAGATTTTGAGCATATTTGTCACCTCAAACGAACATCCCGGTAATGCACAAATGAGGGGTAGTACCTTTAATGTCTGTGCTCTTTGCGGATGCCGCAAAGTGGTGTTACGCACAGCTGCATCAATCCATGCATACGTCCCGGTATGCTCATAAACACAAATCTAAGGAAACTGAAGCCATTTACCAATACGTGGATTAACTTTTAGAACGGATATTAACATCAAGCAACGTCTGGTTTGAGAAAGCAGAAATGGTGGATATGTCCTGGACAGCCTGCCACGGCTGGCAGGCACATACATGTACATGGACCATGTCCCTGAAAAGAGAATTACCAATATCCTGGTTTTCAAGTGCCACCTTGTGCTGGGGTATGCTTTTTACACATAGGCATGCTAGAGGACAACCTGACCTTGATGCTGAACTTGAAATCCAATTCTGTGTTTCCAGACTTCCTCAAAAAAAAGGAAGGAGGTGGGGAGTTTTTTTTTTCACCTCTTAATTTTGTACCCAGTAAACGACAAACAAGATGAAAAAGTAATTAAGAAATTTCACTGACGTGTACCGGTAATCCGGTATTCTCAAAATAGTTTTTAAGTACCAGTACTATTGTGATTCCTACATTGTAGATTTGTAACGGATACATGCATACAGCAGCATTGCACTGGTTTATTCACTGGCTGAGTAGAAAAATTTTAAATC